GTGTGTGTGTGTGTGTGTGTGTGTGTGTGTGTTGTGTGTGTGTGTGTGCGCGCGCGCGCGCGTGCGTTTTACACAGAAATCAGAATCCCACAATCTGTCCACAGTGGTCCCACTTCCACAGTATTTATATAATAACTCTAAAAGTCCAAACCCTCTCAGTCATGTGTACACGGAAAGAACAATTTTGCTGGATTCAGATCTGAAAATAATTTTTGTTCAATAATCAAAATAATTTTGTGCGAAAATCTAAATGATTGCTAGAATATCAAAACGTTTTATAGCAATGCTTATCAGTTTTAATATTCCAACAAATTATTTGGATGATTTAAAAAAAATTATTTTCAGATCTGTTTTTAGCAAAATTTTTACATCTTTCAACAAAATCGTTCTTTCGTTGTTTCTATGTTGTCCGATTAAAAATAATTTCAAAGTCTGTTTGAATGTTCATAAGAACAGGGAAAAAAAGCGTCGTCGATAATCCGCGCAGTATTTGACGTACTTGAATCTATATTTGTTGTTTACTGACTTGAAAATTGTCGCGATTGTTGAAAAATTTGTACTTATTGTCGACGCGAAATTTGGCCGCTCTAATTAAGCCGTTCGCACGCCGCGGGCACGCAGAATTATGTTCCGCCTCGTGAGAAATCCGATTCTCTTTCGAGAGCGCGTTTCGGATCGGAATATAATAACCGGAGGCTTTCACTCCGAAGATGTCAGGCCTCGCGCGGAGAGTTAAAATTAAACGAAATGCCGCGCCACCGCCGCCACAGAGAAAGATTCTCTCTTCCTTTTCTTTTAATGTCAGATTACCGATCATCTCGCGGTCCATGAGAGTGTGCGCGAAAACCTCGCGATTTTATTAATATGCCTTAAGGAGTATCTGTGCTTAAGAATCAGAAAGTTTGACATTGCGGGTTTATAAATTGTAGAGCAAAGTATACATCAAATTATATAGAAATGTATATTGCTATAATTTTGTACGAATACCTTATATTTTTTATAAACTGAAAAAAGAAAATTTATATATTTTCTTACTTTTTATGCTTCAATTTAGAATTAGATATAGATATTTATTACATTTATTTATCTCGAAAATCGATTCCAATTTTTAACGTTTGCAGATTTTTCTTCTACAAAAATTGATTTTTTTATCAGATTTGTATCATTTTTCTTCACAGGTGCATTACGGAAACAGTTATACGATTCTTCTCTTTTAAAGGATATAATTATCTTATGATACTGTTTATTAACTGCTCGTAGTAATTACAAGATTAATTAATTACTGTCGAGATATTTATTGCGAATGAACTACGACAGCCACCCGTCGTTTGGTACCGTTAGTATTTGAAGAATTTATTATACTTAATTAATCGGGATATTATTATCATGGTAGAATTATGATGCCGATCTGATCGGAAAAATCCAAGGTAATCCGACGCGATCGGCCTTGAAAATACAATGGGAAATTATTCCGCGAGTCGCGCGACCTCGCTCATGTAATCGACGAGATCGTATCGCCTCTTCGGGAATCGCTTATGATGCCTAGATGATAGGCAAGAACGACGTACTTCAACCGAAATAATAGATAAAGATAATCTAGAAACATATTTTAGAGATAAATTCACAATCCAATTTATAAGATGATTTATAGCCGACGATTCTAATAAGCATAGTTTTTCATTATGATGTTACTTTATAATTCCTTGTTTTATAAGCTAAATTAATTACACGAAGAGAACGTTTTTGTTGAAAGGTCTAAAAATTTTCCAAAAAACAGATCCGAAAATAATTCTTGTTCAACCATCAAAATAATTTGTTGGAAAGTTCAAAATTATAAGCATTACTATAAAACGTTTTGATATTCTGGCAATCATTTTGTGACTTTCCAACAAAATTATTTTGATCATTGAACAAAAATTATTTTTAAATCTGGATCCAGCAAATTTCTTTCCATGTATATACCAATAATATAGATATAAGTAAGAAACACACCATTAAGATTATTGTGATTCCAAGCTGAAGGCTTGTCAATTATATAAGAACTTTTTAGATACAATATATATTTTTTATATAAATTATTATACTATCTGCTAAGAAGTTTTTTCACACGGTTCTTTTCACACTCTACAATGCCTGTCGTTAACTAAAATGTTTAGTGACGTAAGATTTCGACATCACGCGCGGACACAATAGGTATACACGCCAAGCGGACAAAGTAAAACGCGGTGCATTACGGCAGGTAATTCCGAAAAGCGGAACGACAACGGCGTGAAATCGAAAAACATGGTTTGAAAGAGCGGCTTCGTGATCATTGATACTACAAAAGGGTCAATGGAAATCGGAAACAACGCGAGAACGCAAACGACGACGAGTGCAACGAGATCGACACGATGACGCGACACGCGACCGCGGAGATCGAGAAAACGAGAAAGGCGCTTTCTATGGAGGGGGGGGGGGGGAGGGGCGCCGAGAGAAATGCGCGAAAAAGCCGCCGTCGAGGAGAATTTTCCCATGGAAATAGGGGGCGAATAGGTGAATTTCACGTCGTCGCGCGCGTTGCGTGGCCGCTTCGCGCGATTCGGGACGTAAATCGCGCGAGCCTTTGGCGCGTTTCCATCGTGACCCAATAGACTTTCCCCACGGAGAAAAAGTTTCGCCTTATGCGAGCGCATCAGCGGGGTCCCTCTTTCTCTCTCTCAATCAGGAATGCATTATATCTCGCCTAGTTAACCGTGATGTACACAGTGTCCTGAAAGTCGCGCGCTTTCTCTTTGGACCACATATATGTATATTATGTGACTGCATGCAGCACTTGTCAGATGAAAAAGAAAAGGAAAAGAAATAGATCAAAGCAGAAAACGTATAAAGAAAACGATCGTCACGATATAGTGATAATCAACTTCGCGCTTAACTGACGTGCGAATTTTCTTCTAATTGTATAAGACGAGTCGTGGAAATCGCAGAGTCTATCGGATGGTCACAGATAATGGAATTCGCGTGGGATCCCGTTCAAGGCTCCTACGACGTCCGTCCACACAATAGAAAGCATTTTGTACTTGTGTTAAAAACGGATCTCGTTAAAATTTTCGTGTTGAATTTTTAACATAATCGAGTGTTATTTCAACATAATGTGATTTGAATGTTTTGTGTTAAATTGATATTTGATATTTCTTAGTGTTAAAATTTACAAGTAATTTATGATTAATTATGAGAAATTAATTTATGAGAAATTTGTAAATGAACATAAATGAACATAAATGAACACAATTGAATATAATATATAAATGATCATAAAGAAATAAATAACATAAAAATAATGTGGCTTTAAAATATGAATTCTAAGACGCATGAATAAAAGATAAATGTACATGTTAATTTAATATGTTAATTATAAATGTTAATTTTACTGAAGTTGCTTCTACAATTTGTTTCCGAATTGTGTCGAAGTGTTACAATTTTTGGGTTAATTTTTACGTAATGTCTATTACTTTCTAACATATTCTAACATTTAGTGTCAAATTAATAAAAAAATTTGGATAGATCGGGACAACATGTGAGATGTATTAAATTTAATATAAATCCAACTGCTCGAAATAATGCACGAACGAGAATTCACGGCACTTTCTTCGCCAATGGACGGATAACTAGAAGAAAGAAACGGAATCATTCCAAGAAGTTTCGAGATTAAAAGGCAACTTCTTCGCGCGCCTTTAGAGTCATTCTATTATTTATTGAACTTGATTACAGAGTTGCTGTGATAGTAAATGTGGACGTGATCCTTTTATTCCAAGTCAGCGATTTAAATGACGGCATCTGCGAGCACGCCGCGGCGATGCCATGTGCATTTCTTCAGAGAGACTCCCCTAGAGATCACTGTAACGGGTTCCTGCGATTATTTAAATTGCCGCAACGTGGAGTGTGACTCCCGTCTGCCTCTTCGTGCATGACCGATCCGATAATCTTAACCACGTTCGATCGACTCGACTCCGCGTCATGCCCTGAAAATTTGGCCGGATTGAACGTCACGAACGGGCGAACGCGAAAAAGTAGATTGCAATCGATAGAGGCCACGGCGGAAGCGTTTGCAGCTCTCATCGAGTCGTCATCGCGGCGCCGATGCTGCATCCGCTCGATCGCTGCAGCTCCATCGAGATACAGTTATCAAAAAGCGATTGATCGATCTCCACACGGAAAGAACGATTTTGTTGAAAGGTCTAAAAATTTTGCTAAATACAGATCTGAAAATAATTTTTTGTTGAATTACCAAAATAATTTGTTGGAATATTAAAACTGATAAGCTATAAAACGTTTTGATATTCTGGCAATCATTGTGACTTTCCAACAAAATTATTTTGATTATTGAACAAAAATTATTTTCAGAGCTGAATCCAGCAAAATATTGTTTTTTCCGTGCACTTATCTCTCTATACATAGATGTTGCAAAAATATTGAAATATTTTATATGTTCTTTCAGCATCCAAAATTTATTTGAGATACGTGATAAGATCATCAAGAGAAAATCGGCGATTTTATTTGGTTTGTTTTAAGAAATAAACCAATATTTGCTAAATGCTCATTTACTGAAGTGCAATTTCGCGGAATTATCTTCGAACACACTGAAAGCATTTAAATGCGATTGCACGTCCGCAATGAGAATCGGATGCGCCTGCGAGGCTGGGAACTCCCGTAAATGATTTCGCGCAAATTACGAACATAATGGACGGTTACGCGCGCGCGCCTGCTGTTCGGATATTTTCATCCGGCGAGATGCCGTTGGCCGTGCGCTCTCGCGCGGTTCTTTGCCTTCAAATAGCTAAGCGTTTGTAATTTTCCTGATTGCAGAACTGAAGTGCGGTCATCCGGCTGTGCCGATGAACGCCAGGGTGTCGTTGTCTGATGAATCCTTGGCGCCCGGCACCGTGGCAAAATACACCTGCGATGCAGGCTACGAGCTCTTTGGGTGAGTGCAACTTTCACGCGCAACAATATCTAGAATGTTATAGAATAATCATTCCTAAACTGGAAGAAACTAGAGAAATCATTGATTTATAGTTCCTCGAAAAATTATGATTCAATGGAAAAAAAAATTACACGAGAGAGACAATTGCCTCTTCAAAAATGGAAAACTTTTAAAGATTGCCTCTTGGAGAAGTAAAACTTTTAGATTCACTTATCATCCCTAAACTGGAAGAAACTAGAGAAATCATCGATTTATAGTTCCTCGAAAAATTACGATTCAATGGAAAAAAATTACACGAGAGAGACAATTGCCTCGTTGAAAAGGGAAAACTTTTAAAGATTGTCTTTTGGAGAAGTAAAACTTTTAAATTCAGTTATCGAGATATTTTATAATGATTTCGTTGATTTTACGAGCTGCATTTTGTAACAACTTCTGTTAAATATTGGCATTTATTTAGAAATTCGATAGGAATCTATGGATTTTTATTCGAAAAGGAAAAGAAATATTACGCAGATGGAATAATAGCTATACAACAATGTCGATAACAGTCTTATTGGCTGCTTCTCGTCGCGAGTTATTTATGATAATGATTTTATAGTCGAGGCTACGCCCATCGCGCGACGTATCCGTGGATAATATTGCTTTCCTGGAAAGAATCTCGATCGATAGGTGTGCCATTCTCTATACTGCGAATAAATTAGAAAGATTGCCAGCAAGATTGCGTATGTACAAAGAGACAGAAAAAGAAATAATGAGATGTAGATAAAGAATCATAATATCTGTCTGCAGTTTGTTTTCAGAATTTTCCTATAATTAATAAAATTTCAGCTCGCGCAGAGTTCTGGAACTCTTCGAATCTCTTTGGAGGAGACCCAGAGGTCTATTCGGAATGCACCTTAACCATGAGACTTCGGGCAATATGTCGTGTATTCTGCGGCGGTACCGTTACGAACTGTACATGTTAATTAGCGCTTCATTTCTTCGGCATATAGTGCCGCGTCAGATCGGATATTTCTTCGGTAGAATACCGCGATCGTCAGACTTCCAAGGTTGGCTATTGAACTGCAGATAAGCCGCGTTGAAATCTTTTTTGTTAATTCCAACTAAATTGCGCCGATTTTGTAATTTATTCATATTGCTCGTCATAAAAAGAATTTTATCATAGCAAATACCCACAGATTAACGAATAAAAACTAATTCAATTAAAATGTCGACAACGCGAATATATGATTAATTGAAATGTAATAAAATTTCAGTAAATCTTAAAGTTAATCCAATGATGCAACAAATTATATGGTGACGAAATTTCATTATTTTAATAGTATAATAAGGTTCTCGTACAATCAGGATTTGCGAGTTCATCGTCTTTGCGGTTATCATTTTTTTATAATATTCTTTAAGATTACGTAAAGCTAAGGAAAAACAAATATAAAGGATGTTAAGTCTTGGCTGTTTTTCAGCCAACACATGAAAAAATTCCGAAATTAATTAGATAAGCATGTTCGTTATTCAAAGCCAGAATTCGAAAGGATTACTTATTTGTCTCGGATTCTTCGTCGTTTGTGAATCCCTCGGTATCTCCAAGTTATACGTGTTTAAGTAATAATCCTTGTTGCTTTATTCCCGATGTCTTGATTTAAGAACTTTTCATCAATAAATGTTAGGGTACAGCAGGGTAATTTGAATAATTTCAAACTTTTTGAACAATTTCTCAAAAAATAATAATTTTATTCTTAAATTGAATATGTAGCAGAAAACTCATGTTAAAGAATATTTACCCAATATATGAAAAATTATTCTTTAAATCTTGAAACGTCATTTATTCGATTTACCCCTACAATTTTAACGAAAATCAATTTTGAGGGATAATTTGAATAACATTGAAAATAAACATTCATATTACAGTAAAGACCAAATCTTATATTTAAATGTTTTTTTGAACATTTTATTATATTTTCTAAATCAAATTGAACACAAATTAGAAAAACGTAAAATGATCATGTTAGTCCCAATATTTTAAGTACGACGAAGATAAATGAACTTTTTAACATTGATATTATAATGAAAACATTATATTTATCTATTGTGTTAAAAATATTAAATTGCACGTTTCAGACAAAATTAAACAGAAATTAATAAGGAAACCTCTGGCTTCGAGATATTTAACTCTTTCTAAAGTTTTTTAAAACACAACTAAACACAGCGGGATGCCCAATAGAAGTTCTAGGAACTTCATTTTCATCATATTTGTTTTTGTTTAGATTGTATTTTTCTGTATGGAGCATGAAATAGTTGTGTGTATACAAATGCAATATGCAGCTCCTCAAACCAAGATCACACCAATGACAGCTGTAACGGCTTGTCCCGTGTCTTTGCTCCAATTCAATCGAACATTCTTTTTTTATAATGCTTATAATGCTTATACTGAAATGTATCTTAAAATCTCTTATTTTTCTGAAATTCTTGCAAATACTTACTATTATCCAAATTCCTCGCTGTTCAAACTTACCCCGCTGTACCCTATATACATTACATTTTATATATTCTATATATATTATATTAGATTTTTTATTTGATCGTGATTTCTCTCGATATTTTCCCAAGATAAGCGAAACACGAAACTCGACTCCGCTTAGGCCCTTTAAAATATGATATATAATTTGTATATCTCGGAACTTCGGATATGTGTGTTGGTCGGAAGGAAAACAGTTAAAACTTAACATCCTCCTTACAATGATTCACGTTTCTCTCTCCAACGCAAAAAAGATGACAAAATCGTTGATCAGCGTGACGGGCAAGAAAGTAAACACTTGAGGTGTCAATAACTGTGCACCTTTGTTCATGCGGGACTGATAGAAAACGCAGTTGGCAAGCGAGGAAACCGGCTCTTTGTTGCGAAATAAACGCGGAGGAAAATTAATTTCCCGCCGGTCGTGGCGCGGCGCGGAGGGGGGGGACGGGCAGCGGCGTCCATGGGGGGCACGCGACCGGAAATTGGTGGTCGTGTTACGCGCGATCGGGCGTTTTTCTCGAGTTGTGTGTGCAACAACACGGCTGTTTCCAGGCGAGCGAAATATGCACGCTGCTTGAGAACGGTGATTATCGATAATGTGATAGGCCGCGGCCGCGCCGCATGACTTTCTCCGTTTTCAAACGTTGGCGCGGGACGCGCGTTCGAGAAAGAAAAATGAAAAAATGCGGGACACGGCAGAGAATCGCGTATTGCCGCATTCCTTGATTCGAAACTCGAGACAATAAGAAGGTTCACGGTAAGAGACAGTTTTTCTACATACCTTTCTCCGCTCCGAAAAAGGGACCTCTTACGCAAGGCTGGATAATATTTGAAATAGTTTTATTTTAAATATGTATTTAAAATGGAAAGGGCATTTTGAATTTTCTATTTTAAATGCTTTTTGAAAAACTATTTTCATTTTACATTTGAAATGGAAATATCTATACATTTAACTATAAATTTATTTGTAAAATGGGTAAATGGTTTTTCTAAGCGCTCACAAATTTCTTCTAGCATTATTGATTACGTTTACACGTTACTCTTAGGCTGCGTTCGGTTTGGCGCTTACAGCACTTGTGAGTATCGTTTGTCTTTCTTTAACATTTAAAAAACAGCAAGGATAAAATGATAAGCGCTGTAAGCATCAAAGTGAATGCAACCTTAATCGAGTTTAATAACATCTGTAATAATTAATCTAACCAATCAAAGCTATTTCTCTAAAGAATAAAATGACTGTGATTGGCCACTTTCATAGCTACAGATGTTATTAAACCCGATTAATAATGACGTGTAAACGTAGTCTTTGATGCATAAAAGAAATCAAGTTTCGTAATTGGTCAAAACACAATTTCTTCTATGGACGCGTTCAATAAACAAAGTAGATCATTGAGCATTTAGCGTTTAGTGATTCTTTAATATGATTGATTTTTATCTTTATAACTTTTTGCTGGATCTGAGTAAATGAACCAATACCGTAACAAAGGTGAATCATTGAGCGCTCACTGATCTGTCTGTTAAATGCGTCCTACGTTGAACTTAACGTTTGCGAGCATCATTTGTCCTTGTTTAACTTTTAGCGAACAGTAACAAGGATGAAATGATTCCATGTTTTATTAAATAAAACAAATAAAATGTATGATTATATTAAAATAAATTACCAATTAAATTGTATACACTAAAAAAACCTATTTTGCATTTAAAAATCATTTAAAATACCTATTTACCCATTTACATTTAAAATGGGTTCGAAAAACCCATTTTATATTTTACATTTTAAATATCTTTTTTAAGGTATTTTATATTTGGGATTTTAAATATAATTCCAAACGCATTTTACCCAGTCCTGCTCTTACGTATTTAAATTAACCAACTCGATTCGAAATTATAAGTGTTATTGGGGTTAGGCCTCGACTAATCAAAATGCGTAGATACAGTTTTAATCGCATTGCACGCGATGGCGCGTGACGTTAATGCATACCTCGCAAACGATCACGTCGAACGGGTAATTACACGCATGAGCGTGTAATTGTAGCGCTGTCGGAATTCTTTCTTCGGCCGCAGAGCGGCACAAAGGAGGCGTAAACATTAAGAATCCGTTGGAAGTCTATACGGAGATCCAAGAAGCGCTTACATAATTCTTTTAATCGATAGAAAAGTCTCCTTTTTTCTTATCGAGTTTCTCCCTTTTCTCTTCGAGGTATTCGACGACGAGCGCGAGTGTGTCGAGTGAACGCGTCGCCGTCTTGCGAAGCCCTTGCACCTCCTTCTCACGGTGCGTTATTACGCCAATTATTATGCAGCGAGCCTATAAGTAACGTTTTTCGCTCCAACGGCTCGGCAAGAGAGTTTTCCACGGCGTAACACGCATAACGGGACGGATTGCACCTGTTATCAGTTGCGTAACGTTGGAAGAGAGAGTGATATTCGTGTGGGCTCGACCCCTCCCCCCCTGTGCTTCCGAATAATATCACCACTCGATATTCAGCTCGAATCCTAGCCTGATGTGACTGTTACTTATTCTTTCAGAATCGGCAGCTTGGTATGCAGCCCACGGGGAAAATGGCAGGGTGACCTACCGTTCTGCGGTGAGTATTCTCGCTCTCTTCTGGCGATCTCCTTCTTAAAGCCGAATAATGATATTCCGTACCGAACGAATCAGTGCATCTCGTAGCCGCGTTGCCGCGAACATTTTGCCGAAATTGGCTAATTCTTAATACCCATCGTACGTTCGTAATACTCATTTTAATTACATTAATTATATAAATCTTCGTAATTCGCCATTGTCGCAATTCGTTTTCTATCCGTCTCGATGAAGGCAATCGACTTTCTCCGTTGAACGAAACGGAATTCATTTTCGTGATATGACTGGCAGACGTTGGACGCGAGAGGGGTCATCGAACGAGAATCGCATTTTCGTTCGGAGAGGACACCAAACTGCCTGCCTTAAAATGCCAATCAAGCCACTTTCCCTTGCTTTATACACGGTGTCTCAAAACTGATCTTCTTATAATCAAAAATGAAAACTATAATTGGATCGGTGAATGCAGAAAAAGCACAAATCCATTTTTTTAGAAAATTAGTTTTTCTTTCTATGTTGATCTTGAAATTAATAATTACACAAATAGAATACTTGTCCCAAGTTTTTAAGGACCTGAAATAGCAACAGAATGAAATATGTGAATAGTTAGTGTTTTAACTCCAGTGTTTTTGCGAAATTGTGTAAATTAATATTATTATCTTATATTGTTTAACATTACTCTTTTATTTTCATGTTCTCTTTATAGTTTTCAAGCAAAATAATAATACAAATTTTGTGTTGTATTTTGGAATTAACAAAGTTGAGTAATATCTTTTTTTAATTCCCTACATCAGAAATTTCTTGTTTATTATAAGTTCCATACTTTTGAATATAAAATAAAATATCTAATAGTAGCAACGTATAAAATTATAAAATTTATGTTGATGTCAAGTGTAGAAATAGTGGATATAAAATTAAAATTTGAAATTTAAGTTTTCTATTTATTATATAGATAAACATTTTAGACCAGGAATATATCAAAAATATTATTAAATATCATATCTGAATTCCTGAAAGTAATTTTATTAGTTTTTTGTATTTTTAAATATAATATAAAGTCAAACAATCTTAAATTTATGTTCATTTTTTTTATCTTGAGCACAGAAAAGATATGAGTTTAAATTTTAAAGAAGCTTATATTAAAAAGTAGCTGAGAATATAAAATTAGATTTTTTATAGATTTTTGGCTATAAAATCACATGATAACATTCATTTGCTGGCCAATTGTGAGAAAAATAAAAACTTTATGATTGGGTCATTTATGATCTCCTCATTTTTTTTATTTCATTTTTTTGTACAGATTTTATAGTTGTAGAATCAAATGGTGGAATTGATTTGTCGTTAAAATAAGTAGAAACCCTAAAATTTGCAAGCAAACAGTGTGGCAATTTGAGAGAAATGCAATTTTTCAAATACGAAGTGATGAAAAGTGGAATCGTTAGATGATCTTCATCTTATACACGGGATAAATTATTTTATAGTGTTTTAGCAGATAAGTTTGATTATATACCTAATGAGAGATTGAAATAAAATTAATTGGATGGATGGATGGACAGATGCACGAATTGATAGATAGATGGATGTATGGATGAGTGTATGGATAGATGAATGAGAATATGGATAAGTGGATGGATAGTGGAATAGTTAATTGGGTGATTAGGTGTATAAATAAAAAAATGAATCGATAGATATACGGTTCCATACATGGACGGATAGATAGATTGATAGATTGAGAATTGATGGATAGATGGATAATTGCATTCATGGTTTGTGAACAATGTTGTCACAATCATTATTTCCACGCATGTATACTGACATACACACTTCCCTCTTTCCCCGCTATGTATAAACATAAAAATGAGCGAGCAACATATATTTACACATACCTGTATATCTACAATTATATATTTCACAAATATTTACAATTATATATTTAAGTTATCAACCTACTTCTTACAATTAGTTATTTAACAACTGCCATATTGGAGTCATCATTTTAAATTTCGTAATCCTGAACAGATTCGTATAATCATAGATCTTGACAACATACTCTCTTTCCCTATCCATTTTTAAGATAAGTATGCTGTATTTAGAAAGAAAAATGGAAGTTATAAATAATTCATCTTTGAGATTTTTACTTATTTTCCCCATACTTTGATAGGAAATGGATTTGTCACGTGACAAATTTTACGGCCAAAAAATATAAGCAAATTTGCTTGACTGCAAAAAACGACAATTTTTTAATATATTCCTTTGAGTTTTTTGTTGAATAGACAAGCATTTCAGAACTAGAGATGTATCAAAAAAATAAATGTCATATTTAAACTCCCAAAAGTAATTTTGTTAGTTTTTTCATTGAAATTAAAATTAAACAGTTTTTTGGTAATATTGAAAAATTTGATAAACGTGATTTATGCACTTTCTTTGCACTCACTGATTCAATTTTAGAAAATAATTTTTATACAACACGTAATTAAAAGCTGAAAACTTAAAAAAATTTAATGTTTTTATAGATAATTTTATAGAATTTTAATCAGATATTAAGAAGCTGTTTAAGTATAAAAATTAAAACATTATTATTATTATTTTTTTAAATACTTATCTGCGTTGCATATTGTTGAACAAAAATCGCGAGCAAATTGCTCGAAAAATTTTTCGACGAAGAAACTGGCTTCGGAATATTTTCTAGGAAGGCAACTCGTTCAAAATTGGCAAAGGCAGTTTGACTCAAAGATACTCGTGTAAAATTACGATTACAAATTTCACCGCGTTATCCAACGAATAATATTAGATTAGCGACGATTTTTGTAAATAGCTAACAATAAGTTATTGCACGATTGCGGTAGAGAAAAAAAAACGACATCGTTCCGGCTTCCATGACTTTCCCTATGTAAAAAGCGCAACCGCAAGGAAATACAATTGTCATTGTTCAAAGGTAGCGGAACGATCCGCGCCATTTCCACGGAATAACGGTAGCGCGTTGTTGCGGATCACCACGAAAATCATTTCGGGAAACAGAATATGCATTGCAAAAAAAATATATGCGCGCATCGGAAACAACAGTGGCGACAAACCAATGGTGATTGACATCAGACGACAGCTCGTCACTGGCGATAATTACCGTTATTGTCGAACGCGTCCTGATTAACGAGTATATTGTTATTTTGCCACCTTCGTTTAATGACCGTGACTAAATGGCAATTAACGAGTGTTAAAAGAACGGCGCTTCGTGAACCTCTATCGCGATCGCAAATGTATAGTAACATGTGTAATAGAAATCGAATGTGACAATTAAATTCAGAATTCTGGTTTCTGATGGCTTGAGAGATTTTTAATGGCAAAACTGCAGTAGGCTAAATAAGACGATAGAATAAATATTAGAGTTTTATTTGAAAAAATTGTAGATAAATAAAAGAAACTTTTTATACGCGGAACTTTTTAGACACGGAAAAAACAATTTTGCTGAATCCAGGTCTGAAAATAATTTTTGTTCAATAATCAAAATAATTTTGTGCAAAAGTCAAAGTGATTGCTAGGATATCAAAACGTTTTATAGCAATGCTTATCAGTTTTAATCTTCCAACAAATTATTTTGATGATTTAACAAAAAACTATTTTCAGATCTGAATTCAGCAAAATTTTTAGACCTTTCAACAAAATTTCCGTGCATTCTTCATTGAAATTTCCGTTCTTTTCGTGGATTGTTCACCAAACATTGGCATTAACAATGCATCAAAACATGTAGAAAACCTATACAATTCTTAGCACTTTTAAAAAGAATACCCGTGAAAGCCTTAATAGCAGAACCACAAAGGACTTTCACAGCTTAGGCCTTAGCGGATTTGTGCGGAAGCGCGGCAGCGAGCTCAGACGATCCGCGCGAACCACGCTTACGCACGCGTGTATCTATGTAATTCTTAAACTTAAATTATCATTGCCTTCCAACAATGTAAATATTGCGCAACAGGTACGAACGTGGGTTTCCGCAAACCGTCAAACCAATCGACGACCGTGAGGGGCGGAAACGCGAATCACGGTAATGACGGTGACTTCAGCACGGAGCACGATGGGAAAAGATGCACGGAAACCCAGAGCGAGCCCAGTCCCTGGTGGCGGGTCGACCTCCTCAAGCCATATTCCGTCAAGGTTGTCCGGGTGACAACGCGAGGCTGTTGCGGTAAATTGTCCGCATATATTACCATATTTATTTTTGCACTTCAAACGATCTTGGATTTCGTGACCCGCGACGGGTTGTATTATATTACTCTTCAAGTCGTCTTGAATTTTGTTGGTTTTTGTCAATTATGTTATATTATTAAATATAATTTTTTACTCTTATTTTTAATTTATTACTAATTTATTATTTTGTTAAAAAAAATCTCTCTCACCAAAACGTAAGACAATTCGCTTAATTTTAAGATGAAATTGAGAAGTAAAGTAAGGAGAGTAAATTGAATATCTCGAAGATTCCCTTAAGTTTCCATCGTGTAACTATAAGCTCACTTCGAGACCGGGCGCTAAGTGCAGCTGGCTGGAGAAATCCTTCAGATAAATGACTTATCGATTGCTCCGGCAGGTCATCAGCCTCTTCAGGATATTGAGATAAGAGTGGGCAACAGCAGCGCTGAATTGCAACGCAATCCTCTGTGCGCCTGGTTTCCTGGTACTATTGGTGAGTGCTTCGGAAGAATTACAAACCGTTAAGCAAAAGAACGTTCATAACTAACATCCACGATCTTTATTACTGTACCTTCCACGAGATTCTATCGTTTTTGTATTACACGAGTACTATATAAAAAATTACGTAAAAATTTTACGTAATTCTACATACATCGAATTGTATACAGGGTGTCTCGTACTCAATCGTACAGCGCTTGTGGGGAGATAGTGTGGACCAAACTGAACAAAAAAGTCCTCTACCATTTTGCGATCTTCGCAATAGTTATCGAAATACTAATCATTAAAAAAAAATTTACGCCAAGTATATACAAGTATATCGTACATTAGGTACATCTTATCTAAATCAAAAATATTATTTTAACAAATAAAAGTTGTTCAAAAACAAATATGAGATCATACAAATTGCCAAGTATTTGATTAGACATAGAGACAAGAATATTTTATTCCAAACCAGAAAAATATTTTTTTAATAAATCGTTTAAATTATTCAAAATTATTTGCGGCAAAAGTTTAATGCCATTGTCTTTCCAAATAACTTTAAGTTTCGTAAAACAGACTTAAAGTTATTAAAATGATCAATAGATAAACAAATCATAGTGAAACAAAAACTTGGCCATTGTGTAAAATTTTTTCTTTTTTTAAAATGATTAGTATTGATAACTATTGCGAAGATCGCAAAATGGTAGAGAACTTTTTTGTTCAGTTTGATCTACACTACCTCCCCACAAGCGCTGTACCATTGAGTACGAGATACCCTGTATATATTGCAAAAATGTATATTTGGAAAATTACTTTGAAAACGCAACAACAATCTGCTACACGAAAAGAACGATTTTGTTAAAAGATCTAAAAATTTTGCTAAAAATAGATCTGAAAATAATTTTTTATTGACTTACCAAAATAATTTGTTGAAATGTTAAAACTGATAAATATTGCTATAAAACGTTTTGATATTCTAGCAATCATTTTGACTTTCGCACAAAATAATTTTGATTATTGAACAAAAATTATTTTCAGATCTGGATTCAGCAAAATTGTTCTTTTCGTGTATTTATTTCAAATTGCTCTACGATCTATTCAAACTTCGCTGAATAGCCAAGAGTTCTAAACGTTTTCCTCGAACAATGAGAGCGAATTAATTAGACATTTTAATAAATCACACTCACAGAGGAGGGCATCACGAAGACCTTCATGTGCGCCAGAGCACTCGTGGGACAGTACGTTTTTCTGCAACTTGTCGGTGTCGAGGGTAGCTTGAGTCTCTGCGAGGTGGAAGTCTTCGCTACTGACGGTAAGCTCGGAGCTCCCAAAGAAGTTCGCATTCAAAAAGCTTTAGTCAGGTTCTAATAATTGAGCCGACAAGAGGTTGTGTCTTTTAACATCTTTGATTTTCATATTTTTTGACAATTCCGTTTTACTTGGTCTTAACTGTTGTCAATCTCACTATTGTGACGATGTTTGAAGACAAGGTGATGACTCTCTTGCTATTGAACGAGGAATTTGGACAATATGACTTCGTTTGACAATGGATTATTGACCATGTGCGCTTCCTTCGACGTTAAGAAGACAATTGCGTTTTGAAGAATTGTCAAACAGTGTGAATGACATAGCCACTTGTTACATAATTCGGTTTTAATCTTTAGACATGTTTAATTATTTATAGATTTTTTGTTTTTGACTTTCTGGTTTACATATTTATTCGTTTTATTGATTACAATTTATTTCGCGATTTTTGAACTCTACTAGCTGAAGATGACTCTGTGTAGTTCGAAACGTTCTAGGTTTTGTATGTAATGATGTTATTAAAATTTTAATTTTTGATATCTAATTTATCGTGTGCACGTTTCTTGGTCTCGTTATTCTTATATTTTATCAAAAAGCTTTTTTTCCCCTAAAATTAAGTATATGCTCGCGAATAAAAAATAATTTTGCATTCAATTAATTAAATATTAATTAAAGAATTAGGAACTAAGAAAGTCGGATGAAAGTCGTCGTAGAAGCGCGCATTTGCAGAGAAAAGTTTCCTATGAAAGTTATTCAACAAATGTTCGCAGAATTCTCGATAGACAGATGTGCACACGCCGGCACGCCCGCCGATGCCGATTTGACCGCCTTCAATTCCACGTGCTACGAATTCGTGGTGAAGAAGGGCGGCTCCTTCCAAGAAGCGAGAAACTACTGCAAGGGTCGCGGTGGCGATCTCGTTCACGGTTTCAAGGTTTTTACAATTTGTTTTTATATTTATATGGAGTTCCCTTACAACATTATTTTTGTACTAATTCTATACTATATTAATTAATTTTACAACTCTTAAACGGTAATACTTATTTTTATTAGCAGTTAATTTGCAAATAAGCATAAATATTTAGAGCCTTTAAAATTTTTCATGATTAAAAAATACAGAAAACTGTATATATAGTATAGATACACGGAAAGAACGATTTTGCTGGGAGATTTAAAAATCTTGATCTGAGAATAATTTTGTTGGAAATTCAAATTGATGCTATCAAATGATGCTTGATGATATCAAAATATTTTACAGCAATACTTACCACTTTTGAATTTCCAACAAAATTAAGTTAATGGTTCAACAAGAAACAAGAATATTTTCAGATCTGAATCCAGCAAACTTTTGGGACCTTTCAGCAAAATTGTTCTTTTCGTGCATACCTGTATTTATGTTACAAATGAAAAAAAAATACCAATATTCTTACAGATGACAGCAGTTTTAGTCAAAGATATTTATACATTTTATAATCGCAGGGCATATCGTCTGTATTTATCCTGAACAACCTAGAAAGGCGAAAGGATAAGCTGAAGACCCAGCTGGTCTGGATCGGGGCTCAGAAGGAACCGCAGATCACCGCGCGAACGTGGCGATGGGTGGACGGTAAGTTGACGAAATTTCGGCGAATTTACTTCCCATCGTCGACGACCGTCCGTGGGAATCGGGCCGGGAGGGCGGAGTTAGGTAACCCCAGAGTGAGATTCGATAACTTCGATTGTCGATTCATTGTCCGTGCAATTATCCGGCAATTACCGAACGATTACACGACAATCGTTATTTCGGGAGGGCGATTTCGTAAATTCGTATTCGGGGGGGCTTTGCGCTCGATAAAACGACAATCTCGTTCCGTAATGATGAGCCAATCGGGTGATCGTGTACTCGTCAATCGAATCAAATTGTATCGTAAGTAGAAACGTTACGAAACTGCGGCAGAAGCATCATTTCGTGATAAATAGAACGTGAAAGTTATAACCGTGTCGAAATCGACAGGAAGTTACATCATTCAACGTTAAGCACATGTCAATTAATATCTAATTAATTTCTATCTATATAGCCATTTATCAGTATAACAAAGCACAATGCAATCAGTAATAATGTTACTTACGAATTGAACGTACCGAAATAATCGGATTAAACGAATTAATCAATCGATGATACATAAAAATATAAAATTTACTTAAATAAAGTTAAAGTACGAAAATGAATGCTATTTTCTCACGTTGATTTTTAAATTAATTATTAAATAATTAAGTTACTAAAAATATAAAGTTTAACTGATAAATGATATTTCCTTACGTTGATTTTTAAATTAATTATTTAATAATCAATTTAAAAATCAAAATAAGAAGATACCATTCATTTTTGTTAGTTAAAATTTATTTTCTATTCTAATTAATGGTACTGCAGCCCAAATCGAGCTTTGATCTACCATTCGATCTCTTCAATCTTCATATGTCTTTATGATACGCACGCTGATTAAACACATACGGAAAGAACAATTTTGCTGGATTCAGATTTGCAAATAATTTTTCAATATATAATTTAAAATAATTTTCAATAATCAAAATAATTTGGTGCAAAAGTCAAAATGATTGCTAAAATATCAAAACGTTTTATAACAATGCTTATCAGTTTTAACATTCCAAAAAATTATTTTGATGATTTAATAAAAAATTATTTTCAGATCTGTATTTAATAAAATTTTTAGACCTTTCAACAAAATCGTTCTTTCCGTGTGAAGACAACGTTGCATTCATGGCTCGGTCGAAAACATTTTTTAATAAAGGAATATTTAATAAAGGAACTGATGAACAAAGTGTATTGAAAAGCAGGGATTAAAAAAAATGTATTTTGCTTTTTTAAAAGTTGATTAAAATAAATTCTACAGCCACAGTGCGGATAATTTTTGACTCACTCTCGTATATTCTCGTTGTTACGCATTCCTCGCGAAAATAACGATCCAAGAAAATAACGATAAAAGATCCAAGTACCGGATGAATCAGTTTAAAATATCGAAACAAAATAGATCAACTCTATTACAGGTGAGATCGTGCAGAGGCCGTCCTGGGGCAAGGACCAACCGAACAACTACAACGGCGAGCAAAATTGCGTCGTGCTCGACGGAGGTCGCGGCTGGCTCTGGAATGACGTCGGCTGCAACCTCGATTACCTTCACTGGATCTGCCAGAGCAGTAAGTGTCGAGGAATTTTGTTTGTAAATCGCAGAAAAATCCGGTTGGGACATTCTCGCGCAAAAAAATTTGTCGTTTTTTATATCGTGAATTATAAGGAAAGAGACAAAAAAAGAAAGAGGATGCGCGACAGCGTCTCATAAAAGTGCCTTGTCTTGTAAAAAAGAAAATATATGCTATATTCGTTCTATTCGTCCGTTCGCAGGGCCGCCGACCTGCGGCAGTCCCGAGAAATCGGAGAATACCATAATCGTGGGATCCAAGAGAACGATAGGCTCCACGATAGACTACGTTTGCCCGGATGGATACATGCTCGTTGGATTGAAGAGCAGAATGTGCGATGCGAGTGGATTTTGGAGCGGCGACGTGCCCACGTGCAAGTGTGAGTATACACGACGCCATGACGAAGTCAACGCCCGTGTTCGGCTTCTTATTCGGCGTCATTTTTATCACGCGACAAAATATACATATATATAGCGCTCGTTCTATATTGGCCTCTTAATTTAAACGTTTATCGATCACTGTCACTGCGGACTGAGGATCAAACGGTCGCAATTACACCGACAGAAAAATATAGTTAAAATAACCATAATTTAACTATATAATTTATAGTGAATTTTGAGGACAACTAAAATTATAATTAATTTAACCATGCAAATTATAGCTGTTTTAACAATAAGTATATATTATGATTATACATTATGATTGATATTATTATTTTTCCGTTTACTTATTTTTTAGTTATTATTACAATATAAATTTTAGTTATTATTACAATATAAATTTTAGTTATTATTACAATATAAATAGCAAGCAAATGTTAAGAAAATAGTTATACTCACTATAATTGCAGTTGCATTTACTACATCACAATATTTATTTCATATATCTTGATATTTTACTATATTAATATTTGAAATTATTATATAATTTATATGTAAAATTTTTTCATATTTGGTAAAACTATACATATAAGGTTATTATTACTAACATTATAGTAATAATAACTATAATAATGCTTCTAACCATAATTTTTTTACCATGCAATTATAATCACAAATACAAAATAGTTTTCTCTCAGTGTAGCACTGAATATAATAGTCTAACCTTGGATCTAGGATTTTTTTGTGCAAATCGAGATATATGTAATAATTATTAAATACAACGAGATTTGAAAATACCAAGATGGAGTTATCATAGAATCAAGCAATTACGATCAATTTACATCGACAATGAATTTTGTTTCCATATAAAAATATAAATTAAGATATTTTTCGATAATAAAATTTTATCTTGTCTTTTATCTTTTATATCACGTCGTCATGGGAATCGAGCACTCATGTTTAACGTTAAATACGGATATGAACCACGACGGCATATACGTCACGCGCGACCTCCGACTCATCTTTCGAATATTTTCGCAGTCGTCGACTGTGGCGCGCTGCCGAATTTGGAGAACGGCGCTATCACGCTACTGAACAACAGGACCACATACGGCGCCTTCGCGGATTACACGTGCAAAGAAAATTACACGCTGAAGGGTGACACGAGACGGAGGTGCGGCGACGGTGGTATCTGGAGCGGTCACGAACCCCAGTGTCTGTGTAAGTAATTTTACGCACACATTCGATTATCTTTCGATGTTTTTAGTATAATATTTTCTGAAGAAATGTTTCTGAAAGAAAGTTATAGACATATTTAACTATTTAAATTCTCCAAATTTACATCCAGCATGTACAAATGTTTTTGAATGTTTAATAAGTTATATTCATAAATATGGTATTTATCTAAAAGAATTTTATCATAAAACAAAAAATAAAGAGAGAGAAAAAAGAGAGAAGAGAAATTTACTATTTATAAATAATGTGTCAAATATTTTCCATTTATCTTTGCTTGATAAATCGTCTGAAAATTATATGTGTTTAAAATCATGCAGATTACTGAACTATAATTAGAAAATAGTTTCATGTTAACGTGCTTGGGTTAAGTGAAGAGTCGCGTTTCTAATACCATTACACGGCTAATTGCAGTCGATTGGTGTCCCGAGCCACCGGAAGTGAACGGTAGCGTCGTGACAACTAACGGAAAAAGAGTTGGTTCCACTGCCACTTACTCCTGTCAAAATGGATTTGTTTTGTTCGGGGATAATGTGAGTCCTCTTTAATTTACAATTGTCGCAACGTTCGAGATTTCTTTTTCTGACGTATATTAAAATAAATAAAATGTATAATTACATATATAATATTTTGTTAATTTATAATTGTAATCCCTCGATTGATAATCAAAGGTCCTCACGTGCAACGTCGGTGGCGAATGGTCTGGCAAAGCGCCGCAATGTCGATTCGTCGACTGCGGGGCCCCGGCCCAGATCGAGTTTGGGTCCGTCGTTCTAATTAACGGCACGACCACGGTAAGCAGCTTGGCCATGTACATGTGTCAAGAGGATCACTGGCTGGGGGGTGAAAGGAAGCAAGAGTGCACCAAAGAGGGCAAGTGGAGCCACAACACACCGTCCTGCGAACGTAAGAATTATTTACGAAATGTATTACGTAGAAACTAATTTGCTGAAAACGACTAGATTCTCTGTTGTACAAAGAGTAATTCGATATGTACCCTAATTAAAGTGATTCAAAGTAAATCAATATTATGCCAATCTTTCTGCACTGAAGAGAACCCAAATCAAGCACGAAAATAACACTTTTGCTAAATCCAGATCTGAAAATAATTTTTGTTCGATAATCAAAATAATTTTGTGCGAAAGTCAAAATATTTGCTAAAATATCAAAACGTTTTATAGCAATGCTTATCAGTTTTAATATTCCAAATTATTTTGATGATTTAATAAAAAATTATTTTCAGATCTGCTTTTAGCAGAATTTTTAGATCTTTCAACAAAATCGTTCTTTCCGTGAGGGCTAACGTACGCGTTATTCTTTTTATAATTTATAATAAATGAATTATCATGTTTCAATAACTGCGTTGGCTTTAATGATAATTATTTTCTTGGTCCCCTTTCTAAAAAAAATGTCATCGATGCTCGCATTTATCGAAATATATTGTTGTCATCTTTCCGCGATGTTTAGTTCTTTCGCTCTCGAAATTTCGCTGCGCTTCGTGAGCGGTATATTTTTTACAGTTCTGCAGATTAATAAGGCAATACAATATAATTGTGTACATTTTAACGTTGTTATAATAAAAAGTAAAGAATAACTTAAACAGCGAAGTGCGCGTCTGTAATGTCTAGTTTCATAAAAATGTTATGTTGGAAAGACAGATAGGAAAATGTTTTTTTTCTTTCTGCGGAAAAAAAATTTATATCTATTTAATTTATCTACACATAAAAAGAACGATTTTGCTGAAAGGTCTAAAAATTTTGCTGGATACAAATCTGAAAATAATTCTTGTTGGACCATCAAAATAATTTTGTTGGAAAGTCAAATTGATTGTTAGAATATCAAAACGTTTTACAGCAGTGTTTATAATTTTTGAGTTTCCAACAAAATTATTTTGATGGTCTAACAAAATTATTTTCAGATCCAAATTTTTTGACCTCTTAGTAAAATCGTTCTTTCCGCGAATAATTTTATGCATTAATTAATTGATATAGAAAGGAAAGAATTTCTTTTCCAACAAGAGAAATAATTTACAAAGATAATTCTAGTAAAATACGAAACATCCATTGCCTTTGTTTAGTCTTTAAACTTTTATGAAGGCGTTATGAACGTTTTTTTGCAGTAATTACATGCGAGGAACCGGAAGTACCCACCGGTGGATACGTAGTGGGATATGATCTAAACGTTCACAGCGTTATCGAATATCACTGCGACATGGGATATTTGCTTCACGGTGAAGCGAAGCATTCGTGCGGCAAAGACGGCGAATGGACGGGAGAAGTGCCGATTTGCGAGTGTGAGTCATCTCTCACGTATCTCTTTCCCATCGAAACCGCTCGCATGACATAATCATGTTGAATTATGAAAGGAATAGCCTTAGATCAAGGTTATCTTTATCGTTGATGGCCTTCGTCCTAAACGAGATCTCCTTCGGAGCAGCTTGTTACCTGCTCCTGTTGCATAAGTAAACACAATTAGAAAAGAATTACTTCAGTTGGCTTCAAACGATAATTAATCTGTTAGTAGTTAGTACAAGCATGTACTTAGAAAAATTATTTCGATCAGTTTCAAATGTTAAACTATTTCTTTCATTTTATCTTTACTTTTACATTAGCATTTTCTTATCAAAAGTTGAAACAGAATATATCAAATATTAATAAAGGCCAATTTGAATTTTATACATTGTAAAACAAATAACATTCACCAAGAATTATGATCTTTATGAGAATATAATAATAAGGAGAATTCATATATGTATATTCCTTTACAATTTAATTTGTGATACGTCGACAACACCGGTTATTCCTAAAATTACTGATTGAAATAATCGTCATGCAGACGTCGACTGTGGCAAGGTTCTCCCGGTTTTGAATGGCGCTGTGGCCTACGCGAACGGTACAACTCATCTTGGCAGCGAACTCACGTACAATTGTACAAGGAATTACAGACTGAATGGAGTCTCGAGGAGATATTGTCTCGATAATGGTCAATGGAGCGACGCTACGCCGAAATGCGAAGGTAATAATAACACTGACAATGAGATCAAATAAAGTAGAGAATTCGGAATTACATGACCGAGAGGAAGATTAATACGACACAAAAGTTTAAAATAGCTCGATATTCTTGCAATATGGTTGTTTGTATTATATACTTTATACGTTTTTCATCTTAGAAATTCGTTGTCCGGAACCGGTGTTGGCCGAACATGGAATACTCTCAGTTACCGGAAACGATCGAATGTACGGCAGGACGTTGATTCGCACGGGGACCGCGGAGAACTCGAACACGGGCGCAACTTCGTACAAGATTGGAGCTCTAGCGAAGTACAGATGCGAGAGAGGATACAAGGTAATTGGAGAACCTTTGTCCACATGCGAGGAGAATGGAAAGTGGAGCGGCGAAGTGCCGCAGTGTGTCTGTAAGTATCTCCAGGATCATTGAATAAAGAATTATATCAAGCAAGAGCGTACATATTTTGCGATATTGCTGACTTTGCATAGGATTAGTTTTATGATGTCACATAACGTCACAAGGATCGGAAAAATGCGGTATATTTCAGACCTCAGAAAAATGTAGCAGATAAACATGGCATTATACTTTCCCACTATTTTAGTTTATTTTTCATAATATTATTTTCGAAAGAAAAAGTCTATTCGATGAGATACATTTAAGATATGTTATAAAATTTTCTTTTATCGGTTTGACTTATTATAATCGATAATCGCATTTGATTCACTTTTATGACGTCACATCCGTCACACAGAAAATGTATTTTTGCTTCATGCTCCTGGTACATTTTTTATTTAATAATCCAGATTCTAATCACCAAGACTATTATTATTTTGCCGCCAAATTCATTTATGTTAGAATTTACGTTTTAAAACACATTATTTTTGTTATTCATTCATAAATTGTGTTATTTTGACACTAAAAAATATTGAATATCAATTTAACACAAAATATTTAAATAATATAATCACATTATGTTAAATTGACACTCGAATATGTTAAAAATGTCAACACAAAATTTTACAAGAACTTGAGTGAATCGTTTCTAACACAAATACAAAATGTTTTTTACTGTGTACTTTTTATTCTTTTTTAGTTCTAAGAATCGAAAAAATAAAGAATAAATTAAGTCGAGATTAAAATTAAATTACAATGGTACATGGTAAATGGACATTAGAAATTCTGGTTTATATTTCTAGTCAAATAATCGATAAGTGTTTGGTTAAAACGATAATACTGCGATATATTATAAAATATATTCGTCACAATCGAGGAAAATCAGTCCGCAAGTTTTATATATTAAAAATGCGAAATAAATGTTAAATATAATACGAACGTTCGTCTGACTGCTGACAGATGTCGATTGTGGTAAACCCGAGCACATTCAACACGGACGTTATACATTGACATCGAATGCAACGTATTATGGAGCAGCTGCACTTTATGAGTGCGACGGCAATTTCGAGCTAGACGGATTCGCCAGAAGACTGTGTCTTGAAAACGGTACCTGGAGCAGCGATACCCCCATATGTCGAGGTAATCGGTCGGAGATATTTAACTCTTCAAGCAAAACTGTTGTAAGAGTTGAATAACAAAATCTTATTACATTTAGTTGATTCCAAGTTAAATTTCAAATCCATTATTAATTACATATTTTACTTTAAGACATATATAATTCGCTTAGCAAATATATCTTATAATTGTAAGAATTGGCGATTGATCGTCAAATTGTACAAAGAATAATTACGACATACATTTACAGAAATACGATGCAGAGATCCGGAGAAAATCGGCGTATTATCGACGCAAGTGTCGACTCACAGTGTGGGTGGTGTGGCACACTACAGTTGTCCACGTGGGTTTTACATGGAAGGAAACGAAACTAGGATTTGTTTGCAAAATGGATCTTGGAGTGGAACAACGCCTGCTTGTTTCTGTAAGGGATTTTTCGATCAATTTTTTTTACTTCCAATGAATCTGTGTGCGCATATGACGCCGCAATATATTTATCTTATTACAAATTTAATAATCAATATTATTTTCTAAAATTCTTCATTATATGAAGGAATAAGAAGTATCTTATAAATATTTTTTCCGAAAACACTTAAATTTTATATTATTCAATAACAAGTATTTTTTTCTAATAATAAATTAATATATATAATCAAAGTATTATGATAATAAGCTACTAGAAGAATCCTTCGCGATATTTTTTCTAGCGGTCGATTGTAAGCATCCGGGACCGATAGAGAACGGTAGAGTGATAGTAGTGAACGGATCGACGACTTACGGAGGAGCCGCGGAGTATCATTGTTTACCGCAGTACGAAAGGATCGGTATATTCCTGAGGAAGTGTATGGACACAGGATACTGGAGTGGCGAGGAGCCAAAATGTGAACGTAAATAAGACTCAGATATCATATCTTTGAAATATACCTCTAAAAAATATTGCTTAAGATATAAAACTACTAGTTTCATGCTACGAAAAATCTTTAATCCTTATTGGCTAACTTTCACAATTTTTTCAAAGTATTAAAAATTCTTTCTAATCACCGAGACTATTATCATTTTGCCAAATTCATTTATATTAAAATTTACGTAAAACATTATTTTTATGTTATTTATTCATAAATTGTGTTATTTTAACACTAAGAAATATCGAATATCAATTTAACACAAAATATTTAAATAATATGATCACAACATGTTAAATTAACACTCGAATATGTTAAAAACGTTAACACAGAATTTTACAAAAACTTGATTGAATCGTTTCAAAAACGTTGGCAGCAGACTGCTCGAAAGAAATAAGTACTTATTTAATATTTATTCTATAAACTGCTTATTTTATAATGCCTCGAAGAATAAATCAGGGAAGATATGCAAGATATCGGATAAAATATTTATCATTCGTGTTGCAGTGGCCGCGAATGAGGTGGCCGAACCTCAAGGTGTCGGCACGAGCGTTGGCATCGGAGCTGGGGTTATCATCTTCATATTAATTATCCTTGGATTAGTTTACCTTAGGCTGTGAGTGCTCGTTTCTCGAGATAAAAACAAGCGCGTTTCTTTTCAATTGCAAAGTAATTTACGAATTATATTTTGCAGACGAAAAGCTACGCCGGTGAAGAACACCGAGAACGTCCAAGCCGCGGAACGGAAAGAGGACCAAAACGCCGCCGTCATGTCTTACGCGACGTTGAACGACGGCACGCATAATACCATGTACGAGAACGTCCCCGAGGACGGTCTCTACGATAATCCGTACAGCTTAGGCGGCAACGCGTATAGGTAAGTCGCAACTGGGTGAAAAATTTTCTGGCCCCGATTCGATCCAATAGCGCAAAAATGCAGTTATCCAGGATTGGGAAAGTTACTTGGAAAGTTATTTTATAAAAATAACTCGTTCTTTTTTTCTGAAATGTAACTCGTTACCATTACTCGTAACTGATTTAAATAAGTAAAAACAAATATTCAAAAATCAAGGTTTGATACTACAAATAAAATCAATGCAAAAGATGGGCTGTAAGCCAAAGCTTAGTTGTTATTTTGCTCCATTTATATTTGACAAATTCATTACAATATATAAATAACAAACGTTTCGACTCCGAACGGGTCATTATCAATGTTAGGAGAAATCGGTTAGTGCATTATATAAATTAAATTTAAAATCCTTACAATACGTGATATGTTAAATGCGCTCGCAGTTCGTATATTGCATGTTCGCAGTCCAAAAATTAAAATGTGTTGATCGTCTAAATTAGTGTCGGTTGTTTGTTATTTATATATTGTAATGAATTTGTCAAATGTAGATGGAGCGAAATAACAACTAAGCTTTGGCTCATAGCCCATCTTTTGCATTGATTTTATTAAATAAGTAACTTTATTACTTTGTATCTATGTCAATAATTGACCAGCTCAGTAGGAAGATCTATAATGTGATTAATCGCGACATAGTCAAACATAACACTCCCTTTTTCTAAAACTCACTGCACCATTCCATTCATATTGTACTCGTACAAAGTAACGATTACATTCATTACCGTTACCGTAAAATATGTAACTGCGTTACCATTAACATTACAAATAAGATATAACATCGTTATTCATTTATTCTAAAAAAAAAGGTAATTGTAACGGTAATGACAAAACGTTACAAATAACACGTCACTTCTCAACTCTATACGATTAACCCATTTTTGTTAGAACTTCTCGTTAAATAACAGCTCTACAAAATCAAGTTTAATTACTTAAAACTATTTTTAAACACAATAAAAACAACGAATTGAGCAAAATTAATTAAGACTGCACAAATATCTGGACTGAAAAAAAAGTCAGCGATGTAGAAAGAAATATATAAACAAAACTAATCTTTTTTTAATTATTAAATAAGTAGGATTAAATAGAAAAATAAATAAAATTGATATCGTTCTACATAAATTAATATTTGTTCGCAACAGATACGGCGGCCACCCGAGAAGAATGTACGGCAGATCCGGACATTACGAGGCCGAGCCAGTTCCCAACAGGAACGGGATCACTATCAACGGCGTATCTGTGCGATAGCTCGTAATTCCGTCGACTTTCTTCATCTTCGCCTACGTCGGGAATCGCGCGCGGAAAACTGTCGATCGCGAAAAGTGACGCTCTCTTACGCGCGGTTCCTGCCGTTCTCGCGCGAGACGTGTACAGAAAACACCGAAGAACTTGTTGTCGTTATTTATATTACCGCCTCTGTTGAAGGCGCAATAGTTCATGTAAATAATTCGCGAGAAGGAGAGAAGACGAGACGTGTGGGAAGGATTATACGCACCGATGAGATTTTCTTCTCTGAGGATCAACTATATTTTGTATGATTCTGTATATACGGTGTATCGATTATTTAGGTTCATTACACGTAGGTTCTAAGTGACATGTTGTAGCGATAAGTTTATGATTGTGCGAATAAAGAAAGAAGTGCTCTTGTTGTACTTTATACTTCGTCGTATTATTTCGCTCGATTACCCCTTTAAAGTTATATAGTTATACAGTTTCCTAAAATGTCTCTATTTTCTGACGTTAATTCCACGGAATTCCTTTGAATAAATCTAAACTCGTAAGACAATCGCAATTTAATCCATCTATTGATCAATTAATATAACTCGAAAGAATTTTAGTCCTTATAAAATAATTTGTAAAATATAAATAACGTGGTCATGGTCACGCTGAGAAAAAAAAAGTTGCAATTATCATAATTAAATATCTTGTATATAGGTAAATCAATTTCGGTATCAATTATAAATTTGTTTGATAGAACTATAATATAATATAAATATAATTATTATTACTAACATTATAACAGTAATAACTATAAAAATAAAGCTTTTAACTATAATTATTTTACAATTATAGTCACAAATACTAAACACTTTTCCCACAATACGATATTCATAATCCGTTCATATTTCAAAACTAATAGTAACGTCTTAAGATGTTAATATGGTTCAGATTGATTTATGATATCTTTAAAGATTTCACACATAAAAAGCGACTGTGAAAATTGGCCTAACTGTACATTAACAATAAGTGAACTAACACACTAGGAAAAAATTTTTGGCATTTGTAATTACAATTACATCATAATTATGATTATTACTGCTATAATGTTAGCAATAATAAAAATGTAAAAATTTATTAAAAAATAAATTGACATACATTGAAAATGACTATAATTATAGTTATTATATAATACTATAACAATGGTAATATAATTACATCGGTACATATGGTACTATAATTACATCATTATTGAACTATAATTTATAGTCACTTTTTTTTACTAAACATATTTTATATAGTTAAGTTAAAAAAATGACTCTAAAATATAGTTAAATTATGATAAGTGCAACGATTTTTATAGTAACAACTCTAATTACAGTTATTTTTGGTGCCAACTTATATATATATGTATATATATACATATTTTACAGAACTATATATATTATTATTACTAATATTATATTATAGCAATATAATAACCAAAATGTAATTATAGTCACAAATGCTAAAATTAGCTTTTCGCTCAGTGTAGCAATGCTATATACTGTATCATCAATAATTGATTTCAGCCAACATCTCGATGACCGTCCAAGTCTTGGCGCGAAATCTTGGATCGCGGACAAGGGAAGAAACTCGAGCCATTGCTATGCGTTTATAAATCTCCCTGAATTGTATATACGCCAAATACTATCGAGATTATTGACCCGATAAATGGCAAATGCTTTTTATATATTTTTGTGTCTAATGTGATTAAATAATGGTTATACGTAGCAATTTCATTTTTACAAATAAAATCATAATATTAATATCTTCCATTAAAGTTGTTTTTCCTATTTTAATGATACGGTGAAAGAATTAGCAGGACCGAAAGATTGTTTCCCACCTTCACGAAAAATAAAATTACAGGACGATATATGTCTCACTCATGTCCTTATATGGTCGCGAGTCGGCGCAAGATACACGTTAATCCATGTATGGAAGTGATTCTCGGTTCAGGGCTGTAATAATTTCCAGATCACCCCTCAAAAAATTCCAAGTTAATTATACTACACATTTATACTTCTATCGCTATGCCGCGAATATTTTTTTTTACAACAGCCTATAAAAATTATATTTGTGATAATCACGTCATTATCATTTTGCTGTTACAATTATATTTTAACAACGTGAATTAAGAACTTAACAACTATAAATGCACTTCTAAGATAGTCCAGATTAAAATTTCACCGAAGAATTCCATCTACCTCGAATTTTCAAATAAGAACCGAGGTATTCTTGTCAGCTTACCTTTGTTCTTTCATCTTCGTGTAACGCACGAGCTACTACTTTTTGTGTGGATTCGTCAATAAAAGTGTGATTCAGAAAGCCTCGAATATGATTCGCGACCGAATAAAGGAGCGACTCATTCGCGAATACTCTGCGATGCAAAGGATCGGGAGTATCGGAACACGATCCTGACCGATGGCCCGAATATTTCTCGCTCCGCGATTTTCGCGCGGCTCACACAATTCCATCCATTCCCCCTGCCTTCCAGGCCTTCCAGCAGATGGTGCTGGCTGGCCGGGTGTGGTGAATGACCACGGAGTGACGCGTAACGTGATTCACAGTGTGCATCGTGAGTGAAGCCGAGATTCTGTCTAGCTTTCCACAGCTCTATTTCCTCTCCTTTATCACTCTCTGCTGGTGAGTACGCTTCGTGCGCTGTTTAAAACGCTTGAAAAATTAAATCGAATGAACGAGTTTTCTCTTCCGAATTGTGATACGCGCGACGGTGTTTGACAGGGAATCTTATTCCCGAAAGACCGCCATTGCGGTCACACTTTGCACAATCCACGTCCCGTTTGGCTTGAAAGAAAGATCGGGGATCGTTAATTTTCAATAGAACGAGGCGAGCCGCGAGCGAGATGTTTCTTGGTCAGGTTATGCATTGACGGAAACGCGGTACGCGATCGGAGAGAGATGTGCGAGGGAGCGTGTATAAACAGACGGATACAGGGCCGTAGATACCTGATGGGGAACGCAGTGGGCGCAATGCATTTACGACGATCACGCTAAATCAGTAAAGCGTTTGTCTATAAATTATATAGGCTTTTGGAGTTGGAGCTCTACAGCGCTACGAAAAACAGATATATTTTCAGAGGAAAAAAAAACCGTAAAGTAAGATTAAAAATACCGTAAAGATTTTATAAAACAAATGTTTTATTTTTTTTAATTGTTTGTCCTTGCTTTGAAATGTATTTTAGTAATTTAAATAAATATTAAAAGTATTAACTATTTATTTATTAGTAGAGGGGAGAGGAGTTAGGAAGACGCTTGAAAATTACAAACCCCTAGGTGCAAATTTTATAGATGCGATCCTGCGCTAATCTGTCGATATATCGTTGAAAAGAATATCCAAAACATTTTCTTATCGTGGACACAAGTTTATTATGAATATCATCTATCAATTTATAGACTAGTAATTCATTTGTGATGCACCAAAAGCTGACGCTTACCGCGACGGCCCTGAGCGCGAGAGAGACGCGAAAATCGAGGGAAAAGTAGGACGCGATTCGAGGGACAGATGAGTAAGCATGCACGAGCAACGATTACTGCAAAATTCGTGAAAGGCGATTGCAAAAGAAACATCGTTTATACATTTCAAAAGGTTATATATATATATTTTTTTTTTTTTTTTTTAATAATAGACAGAAATACGAAATATGTATTTTAATATGTGCGTAAAGAAAAATTTTATAATATTATGTGTTTTGTATAAAATGTATTATAGAGATAAGTATTTTAAAGACAACCGAGTCGAATGTGTAACTCGATTTCAGTGTCGATTCTTTTCTCAGATTCCAACCTGTTAGACTGTTCAAACGTATATTTTTAAACGAGCAAACTCTTGAACAATTTGCAGCTGATCGAACGCTATACATTAGCGACGAGTCTTGCGTATAAAAAGCCATTTAGGAGAGGCCATTTACGAGGAGAATAACGACCCCTTGGTCGCGCCTTCGTCCAAGAATTATTTTTACCCCTCCCCCGTTTCCTCTCTTTTCGGTCACGTCGGGGAGATTGTGAATTGATTATCCTAAAATAAACGCCGATGGTGATGGCGACTTGGCAACCCGGACTGTCTCGTCGCGATGTTCGTTTTTTTTATTTAAAAAGAACGCGTCTTTGTTTCGTTAAGATCCGTGATAAATTTACAGGAGGGGCCATAGGGAAAAAAGGAGAGATCGTCGTTTATTTTTTAAGTAAACAGATTTCCGTACAGATAAGTCGCGTCGAGCATTGTTTCTACTAGTAACTAGAACATATACCGGATGATCCTGTCAGATATTGTAATTTATTAATTTAATCTGAAAATACACACACTCTCATTCGAGATCCGCTAGTAAACTGTCGAATTTTTATTATGAGAAAAACGTGATTTTAACTTTATCGAAAGATTTATTAATTCACTTTCGAATGTCTCGAAAGGATGTTTTTAAACGATACATCTCGCACATCCAAATACATGGTTGCAAACAAAAAGATTTATCGATAATATTAATAAAAAAGATTTGGTACTCGCTTCGTTTCTTCGATGCTATTATTTAGCATATTCATAGAAAAAGGCATTAATGTACATAGTCGAATAAACTGTTTTATAGTTGCAATAACAATGTATATAGTCGAATTCTATTTTATAATTGCAAAACTATAAAATAGTTAATTTAATTATATACATTAGTTCATTCGACTATATGTAGTACCTATATATTAATTTTACATATAAAATTTGTACAATTCCTATCACTATGTTTTTCTCTGGGTATTTAAAATTATAACATATGATTGTCAATTCACATTAGCAAGCGTCTGCAATTCTAATTTATTGGACATAATATATAAAATTACACATAAATTAATCTTCAAAGGAGAGAAATATCGTTTAAATTTATAAAATATATCAAATTTGTGTTTAAGACGAAGTTTTCAAGATTGCCTATCAGTGACTAATACTTGAATTTCCAGTAGGTGCAAACAAAATTGTCAAGGATGTCTTCCCGCAAAACTGCCGGTCGCCGTGCCACCACGAAGAAGCGTGCTCAACGCGCGACATCGAACGTTTTCGCGATGTTCGATCAGGCACAAATCGCCGAGTTCAAAGAAGCTTTTAACATGATCGACCAGAATCACGACGGATTCATCGACAAAGAGGATTTGCACGACATGCTGGCCTCTTTGGGTAAGTGAAAGCCTTTTCAGAGAGAGAGATATGAAGAAAAAAAAAAACTATATCAAGTTGTACAAGTGTCGATGATTCTATATTGTCTTTTGGATTGAGATGAGATATGGATAGAATATAGGTACAAATAAATCATCTTTTACAGGCAAGAATCCTACTGATGAATACTTAGAGGCGATGATGAACGAAGCGCCTGGACCCATCAATTTCACGATGTTCCTGACATTGTTTGGAGAGAGACTACAAGGGACTGATCCTGAAGATGTGATCAAAAATGCCTTCGGTTGTTTCGACGAGGAAAATACTGGTCATATAAACGAGGAGCGTCTTCGCGAACTGCTCACGACGATGGGCGACAGGTAATTTTATTTTATTGCATTTTATTATTACTAAAATTATAGATTAATTTCAATCTACGAAATTATTGCGATTTATTGGGTTATTGTAACAATGTAAAAAAATATTTACGAATGAAATTTAGTTTCTTAAAATGCAGATTTTATTTTTAAAAATAGTAAAAGGCTAACAATAAGACAATGATTGCTCAGTAGCAATTTTGACAAATTAATTTAAAAAATTATGAATAATATAATTATACAATTCTAGATAATCAGAAATAATTATTAGCCAATATACTATATCATAACATAGTTTAGAAATATTTTTATATACAGATAAGCCCACATTAGGCTATGCATTGATAATTAAGAATTGCGAATTGAACATTAGAATTTGACTAATAACACAGATAATTTTAATTTTAATTTGTTTCATTTTAATTGATTAAATTCTAATCTCCAATTTGCAATTCTCACTCTCCAATGGGTAGTCTGATACGAGCTTTATTTTTATTGCTAATAATTACCTATTTATTAAATATTAATGATACTAATAAAGAAGTGCATACATAATAATATATAATATGACTTCTTATTATAAGCTAATAAAATCAATTGGAATTCTTGCATGATTATGCAAAACCGACTTGTTTTTTTTTTTTTTTTTTCAGATTCACGGATGACGATGTTGACGAAATGTACCGCGAGGCGCCTATTAAAGGTTCCATGTTCGACTATCTGGAGTTCACTCGAATCCTGAAGCATGGCGCGAAGGACAAGGACGAGCAGTAGTGAGAATCCACGCAAGAAATCCCCGCCATGGAATCTTAAATAATATTCGAAGTTTCTCGCACGCTTCTCGCGCTTTTTGCGGATTATAGATCCATCCGAGATATTATCAACAATTATCTTCTGATTTTGATGATTACATACATATATGCCGAACAATTTCAAATCGTAATTTGCATTAGGAATTCTAGTCTCTTAGAAATGTCTATTCACATTTACACTTGTTGAATTTGAAAACATAAACTGAATAATCGTAAGATAAATTTAGAAGCGCGAGATGTGTGTGTGTATGCGCATTTTGTAGAAAAATTGTTTCGAAGTATTCAAGCGTAACTTCTCGAATGATTACTACTGTACAGTCAGTAAAAGTTAAACATGTAAGATATTTATATAAAAACATGTAACTCTGTTGTAGATTCAGCATTTATATTTTAATATAATATTCTATTGCGTACGAAACTGTCACGTTGTCTTATATTATTAAACCTTCTAACAAGAGATCATTATATAATAGCACATAAATTTAACACCCTTATTGACAGCAATAATAATAGATTGATATTTAAGCATAAAGAGACGAGAAGAGCCAAGAAACGAGCATACAATAAATTGAATGTCAAATTAAAACTTTAATAACGTCATTGTATAAAAAACCTAGAACGTTTTTGGACTACACAGAGTTATTTTCAGCTAGCAGATTTCAAAAATCGTGAAATAAATTATAATAAATAAAACGAGTAAATATATAAACGACAAAGTCAAAAACAAAAAATCAATAAATAATTAAACATATCTAAAGATTAAAACCGAATTATAAGTGGCAAGAGGCTATGCCATTCACATTATTTGACAATTTTTTGAAACGCAAAAACACAAATTGTCTTCTTGACGTCGGAAAGCGCACATGGTCAATAATCGTTAAACGATGTCATATATAAGTCATGTTGCCTAAATGCCTAAATTCCTCGTTCAGTAGCAAGAAAGTGTTAATCCTCTCAAACGAAGAGAGTCAAACGAAGTCATATTGCCCAAATTCCTCGTTCAGTAGCGAGAAAACCGGAAAAAGATCATATCACTGATTTTTGGAAATTATGACATTATTAGACCGTACTCTAATGCTAATAATCGGCCGTTATCATATTTCAACGTAAGTTATGTTTGTGTATTTTATACGTTATCAATTATATTTGCCACTATTCCTGTTGATATATGAGAATGGAATGCATCGCAGCATGAAGATGGAGCGTCTTAGGCATAAAGCAAAAAAAAATGAAGTGATGGAACGAGATAAGATTCTCTTGCTAAAACAGAAAATAAATATAGCTATATAGTATATAGCACATATATATAAAGTACATAACGCATTTACTCATAATTCCTTTTTAATGCTCATGTGTATGGAAGCAGTTATATAAAAAAAACTATCGTATAATTTATTTAAGCAAAGTCATCGTCATATTTGGGTATCATTTTCATTATTTCAAGATAGTTTCGGAAGACACACTGATGACGCTTTTAAATTTAAACCTAAATACTTTGATTTCGACTTAAATTATTATATGTTCTAGAATAGCGTAATTAATATTAAAATTATTTAGAACAATAAGAGTTATGCAATTCTATAAATGATAATGATGACTCATTAACTGAAGTTATTTGGAATAATAAGAGTTATGAAATATTTTAAAAAGGATAATAAAAATTTACAGTATAATGTATATGTTGAATATATGCCGCGACACGAAGATCGAAACAAGTTCTTGCTGCCTGTGTCTCAATCCGTGTCTCATATTCGACATACAAATTTTCTCGCAAATTTTTACTACGGCAAGATGTACTCTAGACGGTTTGCCTTCCGAGAGACAGCGGTCGAATAAAAATCTGATGTTTCGGGTCGGATTTGAATCCGAGTCTTCGATACAGAAAGCAGAACTCTGCGCCACGATCGCTACGATAATAACATTATTCATAACAATCATAACAATATTAGAATTTAATACATTCAAATATTAAAATTGACTTTGTCGTATCTTTCGCAAGGTTCAAAAGTTCTTAGTATAAAACTGTTAAAAAAGAATAAAAGATTTTTTGTATTAAATTAAATTACAATTAAATGAAATTAAATTAAAATAAGTTAAAATTTAGTATCCAAATATTTTACCTAAACTAAATTTTTCAACAAAATTAAAGCATTACTTACCCTATCCTCCAAAAATAGGCAAAATTCAAGAGAGTGTAACTTCGTCAAAAATGATCGTATCGAGATGTTCA